AAAAGGAACGAATGAAAATGAATAAACCCGAATTAATTAAGTGGTTACTAACGAGCTCGGCGTGTGCAGGCGCGGCTGAGTGCGGCAGGGCTGGACGCCAGCATCCCGGGCGCCACGACGGTGGTGGACGGGCGCACGGGCCCCGGGCCGCGCACGCGGACGGCCGCGCCGTCCTCCACGGGGGACGACGAGGACGGGCTGGACGACGAGGAGGACGAGGAGGGCTGCGCGCTCGACTCGCTCAACGACAGCGACAGCGCCGTGGTGCTGGAGGAGGCGCTGGGCAGCGACGTGGACGTGCTGAGCGTGCTGCCGCGCTTGCGTTCCGCCGGCCTCGACCCCGCCGTCACTGTGGTGAGTAGGCCAACGAGCTGACAAACATATACTAAGTGATGCGACATCGATGTCGATGTTTTTTGACTTTCGATGTCGATGATGTTTGAACCTTCGATGCTCGGATGATTTTTTGAACTTCGATGTCGATGATTTTTGAACTTCGATGTCGATGATTTTGAACTTCAATGTCGATTATTGTTTTGAAACTTCGATGTCGATGTTTTTTGACTTCGAGTCGATGATTTTGACTCGATGTCGATGATGTTTTGAATTATGTCGTATTTTGCTTCGATTCATTGATTTTGAACTTCGATGGTCGATGATTTTTGAACTTCGATGTCGATTGATTTTTGAACTTCATGTCGATTATTGTTTAACTTCGATGTCGATGTTTTTGACTTCGATGGGTCGATTGATGTTTGAACTATCGATTGTCGATGATTTTTGAACTTCGATGTCGATTATTTTTGAACTTCGATGTTCGATGAGATTTTGAACTTCGATGTCGGATTGATTTTGAACTTCGATGTCGATGGATTTTTGAACTTCATGTCGATTATTTTATGAACTTCGATGTCGATGTTTTTTGGAACTCGATTCGATGATATTTTTTAATTTTTTATCGATGATGATTTGAAAACTCTCAGATGTCCCGAATGGATTCCTCTAATAAACTTCGATGATCGATTAAAATATTTGACTCGATCCCTGCATGATGTTTCTAATGAACTTACGAGTGGTCGCCATGATGTATTGAACTTACAAGTCCAGATGCATGTCCTAAGAACTTCAATGTCGATATTATTTATTTACGAGGACTATCGATGTGCCGATAAGATTTTATGAACTTCAATGGATCGATTATTTTTGAGACAATTCGATGTCGGACGCTTAATTTTGACTATCGATGTCGATGATGTTTGAACTTCGCCCTGGTCGATTAATTTTTAAACTTTCGATGTCATCATAAATATGGTTTCATTGAAACAACTAGATTCAGTTCGAATCAGCCGTGATGATTTGAACCTCTCTAAAACGATCGTCGCATGGTAGGTCAATCCTTCGGAAACTTACGTGATCTAGCGAAAAAAAAAAATAGCAAAAAACAAAATATCAAGAAGAAAAAAAATAATTAATTGATTTCTGCAACTTCTCCGATCTCGCATCTCGAATCGATTGTATCTTTTTCGAAAAAAAACTTCATCTCTCGAGCCGCATCACTCGAAGAATCCAAATAAAACGAGCCCAAACCTCTTACGTACTCGATATGCTTTGAACTTCGCATAGATTCGACGCGAATGGTTTCAATTTAAATAATTTGCAGACATTACAATTTTTGGGATCGAGTGTCAACATTATTTATTTGTGAACTTCGATAAATATGCTATTATTTTTTGTCGATGAATTCATCTCTTTTCTCACGACATCGACTTCCGAGTTACTCGATACGCAATGATGTAATTCTCTGAACTCGATGTCGCCATTCTTTGGTAACTCCTCAAAAGATGTCGTATATTATTGAACATTCGATGTCGATGACTTTATTGCAACTAACGATGCGATGATTTTTGCAACAGTCAATGTCGATTATTTTTGAACTTCGATGTCGATGTTGTTTAACTTTGATGTCGATGATTTTGTAACTTTGATGTCGATGATTTTTTAACTTTGATGTCGATGTTTTTTTACTTCGATGTTTTGTGATCAATGTTTCCTCTTTTTCGATATTTTGTTTCTGAATGAACAATGCCCATGATCACAATATTGTAAATATTAAAATACGAGATAATAACTTGAAGTAACACTGTTATTCACGTGTTTGGACCAAAGGAACGCTCTCTGCACTACCTTCTTCGACCGTGGAGATGACCTCCACGCCATTGCATTTCCTCTTTCTTCGTATTTATTTCGCACATTGAAATGTGGTTAACAAATACGCTCTGGGCGTAGGGTCTGCCCCTTCTCATATCTCACGAATTTAATGTTAGAGGTTACTAAACCAGTTTAAAACATCGATGTTGAAAAACATAGATGGTTTTGAATCGATGTATTTTTAACATAGATGTTTTCATTTTGAACAACTATGTTTGCTCATATCGATGTCGCATCATTAGAATATACTACTCATAGAGTGGCTGACTGTATGGTTTCAGAGCTCTTTAGTCGACGCTCGCGCCGCCATATTTTGGCAGTAAGAACATGAGAGGTGCCTGATAGCGGCGTGTTGTTTGTACTAGATCTTATTTCTACATTGTTGCTTTTTCGTTTATCTGTATATAAATTATATTAGTGGTTAGAATAATAATATTCATAATGCCTGTAGTATGTTCGGTCTATAACAGTAAAAATATAAATTCGATGCAGAAAGCAACGTGTATATAATGTTTCCAAATTCATTCTCCTACCATATTGTCATTCTGTTTTAAATGATTGGTTTTTGGCCGGTTAACACAGAGAAAGATGATTTATATAACGTGCGGCCCACGATCACACGGCCGTAGCCAGCGCCAAACGGAATGCTAGAATACTCTGTTTTTCCAGAGGGTGCTGCTTTTACTGCAAACAAACATGGCTTCAATTTGCTGCAATGTATTTAAAATCTAACATGGTGTTTTTAATTTAACATGATGTTTTTGTATTTGATGGTTGATATTATAGCTTTGAAAAATGAAAAATGTTAGAACTGTTACCTCAGTATACAATAGTAGCATTCTGACTTTGGTCAAGTTTATAATCGAAGGAAGCTTTAATACCCCTCTACGTGATACATATATAACTCGGTAAAGGTACGTCCTAGAGCCTTAGACCGAGATTTTTGTGTCCCTGGTAGAAACACAAATTATGTTTTCTGTAACTTTTACTTCAAAAAGAGACTTTTTGCTCTATTACCTTTTTATGGTTGCGTCACTACGTAACAACGAAGGGACGGAACCACAGAAATGCTTCGTATTGCAAGAAACACTCAAAATTGGGTTGCAGTGTTACGCAATTTCCACTTTTCAAACGATGGTTTAAAAATTTGTTTTTTGGAAATTGCAACTTTTGCAAAAAATCGTTGGGGTCCTTTTCTCCAATTCTTTGGGGTTTTCCCTCTTCTGGGTACTCTAGCTATTCAGAACATCCCATTTCATTCTGCATATGCACTGCTTTATTCTCCTTCATAACCTTTACGTAACGTAATTCGTATTTCATAATAAAAAACTATTTACATTAAATTTTTGAATTTACACTTTAATGTATAGATTAATAAGTGATGGAAGGTGTGGCAAACTAAGGTTTGAGGGAATATTTGAGTAAATATTTGTGGGAACATCTGAGAGAACATTTGGAGAATATGTGGGGGAACAGTTGAGGGTACGTTTGGAAGGATCATTTGAAGAAGAATTTGTGGGAACATTTGGGAGAAAATTTGAGGGCACAACTCTCGAGGGTACATCACATCCACCACTGATCTAGAAAAAAGAAATCTCCGATTAATGTCGGAGGTAGGACAAGGCATAACTGTAAGTAATGTTGAGCCATGAAAAGAAGAATAAAAGTAATACTTGTTTAATGTTCCGAGTCCGAATAACTCCCATTTCCATTGAACAGTGTATAGTATGAGTAGGAAAGTCTAAATATTTGGTAGTAGACCTGCAATCTAGCACGAGCGGGCGGCAACTACACGGGTGGCGGTGTGCGCAGGTGCGGAGCGTGTCGGACGCCGTGGA